CCCTGGCCTGCCCCCCCGGGTCATTTCTGGTAGAGATTGGTTCACAGGACCCTCCAACACTGATCACGCATTTCCCGGTCACAGCAATTGTAAGCAAACTGCCAAGGTGCATTGGTCCAAAACGAAAGAGAAGCACTCCATTCTCAAAAAGAAAAAGACCCACAACGTACGGTACTCGTATTCACGCTAGGTGGGTGGTTGGCGGGCGCTCTGGTGTGGTTTGTTCCTTCTTTCCTTTCAAACATCTATATTATAGTCCTGGTCTCTCCTCCTTCCGCACTTATATAACCTTATTGTGTTGCAAGTGCCGTAAGACTCTTACTAAAACTAACAATTCCTGCTAGAGCAGGACACCCGTGTCCGAATATAAATGTGAGGCAGCGTGGTGGAATCAGGCTCTCGTCAATTTTTGGGCATGTAGAGTTATTGGTATTATCTTAAAGCTTGTTCACTTGTCTTTATTTTGATGAAAAAAATGTCCATTTATCTTGAATACAAGTGGAGATATTTCAGAATGAACGAGGTGGGGGTCACCTGTTTTCAGGGGGAAAATTAGTGAGAAGATGGCCGCCAAAGATTAGTTAATTCCTTAGCTTAACAGTCCGTGACAACTGAAAATTTACATTTATTGTACCTTTAATCAACGCTTTCCAGAAAAATCCACACAGAAATGAGTTCTTTAATGGGCATGAAAGGTGTTGAACCAAAAAACAAAAATTTGATAAAAATTCACAAACCTGCAGAAAAAAAGCAAGTTTCTTTATTCTGATTATTTTGACGAGAGCCTGATACCACCACGCTCAATTAAATGGACACTTGGCCCAATAGATGCAGCCCTATTAATATTACACCGCAGCTGCAGGTCTGACTAAGGGAGAAAAAAAAAAAAACTAAAATGAGTCCTGAAAGTTTTACCAGAATTTGAAAAACTGTTTTGTTTTGTTTTTGTCGAAGGTTAGTTGACACTGTGGAAGCTATCTGGTCTTTTCTGTTTGGTTTTTAGGCGGACGGGAGGGGAGGGGGAGGGAGAGGGAGAGAGAGTGAGAGAGAGAGGGAGAGAGGGAGAGAGAGAGAGAGAGAGAGAGAGAAAGAGAGAGAAAGAGAGAGAGACAGACAGAGAGAGAAAGAGTGAGAGAGATGGAGAGAGAAAGAAAGAGAGAGAGAGAGAGAGGGAGAGAGAGAGAAAGAGAG